TGGGGCGGCCATGGGGCGGCCATGGGGCGGCCATGGGGCGGCCATGGCGGCCGAGCTGGACACTTCAACTCGCAGGCCAAGGAATTCCGAGGCTTGACCTCTACACTAGCAGAGCTGCATCTATACACACAAGAACATGAGGGGAGGGAAACGGTGGAGGTACCTGAGGCATTCTTTGGACTATCCCTGGATAATCAGCTTTGGGTTGGGAAATCCTAGTAGCGTCCGATCGCTCCGTTCGTAGCGATGCCCTTTGTTCCGTTCGTAGCTTCTTGTTACTACTGGTATGGCCAGGAGCTAGAAACGTAGCTTCTTGCTCCTAGTAGTAAGGCACTTGTTTCTAATAGCTTCTTGTTACTACTAGTAAGGCACTTGTTACTACTAGCGTGGCACTTGTTCCTACTAGCGTGGCACTTGTTCCTACTAGCGATGCACTTGTTACTACTAGCGATGCACTTGCTCCTAGTCCCTCGAGATTTCCCCAAGATCCCGTGCAACATGTCTTTTCGTCGCTTCACCTTTCGTGCCACACGTGCGCTGGGGCCATCGCCGCTGGTGAAAGCGATCACCGCAGGGCCAGCGCCGGACAAGCACCTGAAGGCGAACGCGAGTGCGGGATTGACGCCGAGGGTCGGTGACCGTCCGTCTGCGCGCGGCATGAGAAACCAAGCGGCATAAGATCAACATCCTTTTCGACCAAATTCTGACACATTCATGTCCTTGTTGGTTTTGGATCATGGATGGAAGTGGATGCTTGTTCTGATTCTGTGCTCTACGTTGAAGTTCCGTTAACATTCGCAAGGTGAGCAGCTAGTTGAAAAACCGGTGATTCATGCCAAAAACGTGCCAGTGGGTTCAGAAGTTGATCTTCCTACAACAAGCGGGTGCTCGGTTGCGTTAGGGGCCTCTGCCTGCACTGATATACCAATACTGAGCATGGGCAAAAGCAAGGGTTCCTACTGCAACGCCTCCGCCTTCATTGTCAGACTGGCATTGAGAAGCTCTCCAGCTCTTTCAATTGTCGATTTGGTTTGCTCGTGAGGCTCCACGTCCAGCCACTCCCTTTCCCTACCCCGACTGCCCAGTCAGCATCGCTGCATCGCTCTCCTTTTGAGCTAACATCGGGTTTCTGGCTCATTCGTCGCCTAGGTGCAACGCATGAGAGTTTGTGTCCAAACAAATCACGACAGAATACTGAGCACTCCTCATGTTGAGTTTCATTAAGGTAACGGAAAGTGCGGGAAGTGAGATGAAAATGAACAATGTCTGTTTTCTTGGCGCTGCCGCAATTGAAAAACACAAACACGCTATGAGCCCAACGGACCTCGGGGATTGACCGTCCCAACACCCAGGACCATGCCATACCGATTCACATCAAACTGGCGATTCTGCTTGGGCCAGGACTGTCAACTTCAGTTAAGCACTCCTGACGTATCCCGGCTGAACTGAGCTGCACGAAAGGCCAAGCACACCATGAAAGAAAATTGAAGGAATGAGCATGCTTTTCAGCGCATCTCCACGCCTTCCGCAGGAAGGGATGATGTATGGCGCGATCGGCAGTGAGCCGCGAAGCCGGGTCGATGGAAAGCAAGCCTTGCGAGCTGGGACGGACCGAGTGCCCATCTCTGACAAAAACGGATCGTGAATGCATAATTAATAATATGTACATATGTACATATGTATATGCCATCCGCCTCACACACAAAAAGTGCATTTTCCGAGAATTTAGATAAATATGTTGTCACATATTTCACATACACAATATGTAACATCTCTAGGTTCATCCCATGCTCGAGCTTCACCTCCCTAGTGCCAAGGCAATGAAAGCAATGATTCCGAAAACCGGTTTGGTCCATGTCATGTGCATTTGCTATCTTTGTGGAAGCTGCGCCTTCTAAGAAGGAAAGGAAGTCGTGGTGTCTGTCCAGGACAAACCTGAGAGCAGCAAGCCAGCCAAGATCAAGCCAGCAAATACATCAACTCATTGGCCAAGAACACTAACAACTGCACTACAAACACCAAAACGCAAGCAAAACCATAATCACTTGATGTGCTCAAGGCAGGGTTGTTGCATAGCATTCACCAATCAATCCTAGACCATCTGTTCTTACTTCAGTCATTGGCACATCGTGACCTAGAGGACTCGGCTGCCGTAACTAAGCAAGCCACGCTTTCTCAGGTGAAGATTCATGGCTCATCTAAATCTACGCGATGTCAAGCTCCACCCCCATCTACTTTGGAATCACTACACTCTACAAGTCTTGAATAAAAACAAAAATCAAGCTTGGTCATGGTCTCAAACCTGTCTCCTCTGGCCATTCGAGGCGCTCCCGGACGGTCGCCATCTCTTCCACATGTCTGGCCTCGAATGATTCAGGAACTCCAAAAGGAAATGGACAAGAAAAGCAAATGACTTTTGGCTCTTAAACTCCACCGAACGTGACATCAAGATGTTTTGCCGTCACTGCCAATCCTGCAGTTCGTTATGACTGTTATGCCAATCCCCCAGTCAACATCCACCAACCACCAGCCACCAGCTACCCACCTCTACCAGTAAATCCCTCTCGACTCTAACCGACTCGAATCACTGGCCTGCT